TGTAATTATAATAAATGAACATAATAATTAAAAATGTTAATAGATGTTTTAGTTGATAACTTTTTTTGATTTTATGGTATGAAGTGTAATTATATGGGTAATTTTTTTTCACGTCCTCAAATAGTAATATTATATCTTTCTATATTAATTAATTATTATATCCTTTAATTTATTAAGAAACAAAAAAATTGTAGAATTTTGAAAAAAAAATGTAATGTAAAGATGTAATAGGTAATTTTATACAGAGTTGATTCTTTATCAGTAAAGAGTCAAATTTAAAAGCTAGATTTGATTCTGAAAGCTAGATTTGATTCTGAAAGCCTCCAAGAGTTAATTATAGAAAGTCAACATTCGACTCCTAAATTTTAGAGAGGTTCGAGCATCCTGTTGCAAGTTAGAGTTGACTCTATACATCAAGATTCAACTCTCAAGCCTATAAGAGTCGACTATAGAAGGGCAACATTCAACTCCCAAATTCTAGAGAGGTTTGAGCATCCTGCTGTAAGTTAGAGTCGACTCTATACATCAAGATTCGACTCTCAAGCCTCCAAGAGTTGACTATAAAGGGGCAACATTGGACTCCCAAATTTCAGAGAGGTTCGAGCATCCTACTGCAGGTTAGAGTCGATTCTATATATCAAGATTTGACTCTCAAGCCTCCAAGAGTTGACTATAAAGAATCAACATTCGACTCCCAAATTCCAAAGAGCAGATAAAGTTCTAGGTGGTGGGTATAGTTGACTTCTTTTTTTTTTTTATGAAGAGTCGACTCTTAGGGAAAAAAAGTTGACTCTTAATTTAAAAAGTTGATTATTGACCAAAAATTACAGTAACTTTATATGAAATATCTAAATAGCCTTATATATATGTCAACATATATTTTTAGATAAATTACAGTTTTAAATTATTTAGATATGTTAGTAAGTAATGTAATTATATTAATTAATTTATCAGGTATTAAATAAAAGTTAATAGATTAATCAAAATCTAATAATAAATTAATTTTTATGAAGAGTCGACTCTTTGTTTTTTTTTTATGAAGAGCCGACTCTTAGGGAAACTATTGACCAAAAATTACAGTAACTTTATATGAAATATCTATATAGCCTTATATATATGTCCACATATATTTTTAGATAAATTACAGTTTTAAATTATTTAGATATGTCAGTAAGTAATGTAATTATATTAATTAATGTATCAGGTATTAAATAAAAGTTAATAAATTAATCAAAATCTAATAATAAATTAAATTTTAGTTATAAAATAAATTTTTTAAAGATTAAGAATTAATTAAAATATATTAATTTTAATAATTGAATAGTGTGGCGGGAG